TAGGTAGGTCGAATACCTAAAAACGTCTTTTAAAAATAATTTTAAGAAAAATCATTTTTAAGACAAAAAACCGGCCTGTGTTTACAAAGATTCGATAAAATGGGTTCGGGAGTCAGTTACAGTCAAGGAAGGATTAACACCCTTGAACTGCCCTTTCGGTACCATTTAATTTATCAGTTGTCTTAATTGCGAAAATTAAAATTTAAAAATTCAATTCGAATCTTACCTTTTATCGATTGAAATTACTACTGAAAAATCAAATAAAATATTATATGGTAAAATAAAATATTGAATGCTAAACAAAAAGAAAATATTTTAGAAGATTAAATAAAAAATATAAAAATATAAAAATTAGGAAATAATAATAATAATAATTTTTATTCTAAAAATGAAGAAAATGTTAAAGGATCTCCTAGTAATTAAAAATACAAACACACAAAATTAGTGATTAAAATAAAATTATTATAAAATTAAAAGGCCAAAATAAAATAACATAATTTACATTAGTGACCAAAATAAAACATGCATAAATTCCTAGGTCAGATTCGAATAAAAATATAAAAAGTGACCAAAATGCCAAAATTAAAATAACAGTAGCTAAATTAGAAATTAACAGTGACTAAATTAAAATAAAATAACATAAGCATGCATAATCGGAATAAAATAAAAAAATGTGACCATAGTATGAAATACGCTAAAGCTGAGAACTTATGCATGATTTACCCATTAAGATATGTGAACAAAGAAAAAAATACCTTAGAATCTGGGGACCTTACGCATGATTTCCCCAAAAAAATTTGAAAGTTTAATACTTCTCCCTTTTTGTTTCTTCCGTTTTTTAAAATATTTTATTTATTTTTTTATTTTTTAGAAAGAGAGTCTACATTCTCTATAAAATTTCGCTCGGTCATCGATGGATGTTGGCTACCAAAAATTCGAGGTTTGTTCGTCTCGTCGCAATGGTCACGGATCTGGGCTCTGTTTTGTCAGAGGATGCTCTGATCATCATGAAATAGCAAAAAACCGCTCGACTTTCCTGGGTTCCGATTTGCGCCGTCCGTCGTTGGATCGAGCTCAAATTTCAGTATGTTGCTCCCCTCCTCGAGACGCTTATTCTCATCGTACAGTTCGTCGAACCATATCTCCGAACACCGACGAGATTCCGGCAAGAACGGTAAAACGCCCTTTTTCCCTTTTTTTATTATTATTTTATTTGAAAGCTAATAAATAAATAAAATAAAAATATCAAAAATAACTTTGAAAATTTTTCTCTGCTTTTTATTGATGAATCGAACTCCTCCCCTTTACATTTTTTGTTCGGGTTTATATAACCCGATTTGTACATTGTTTCTTGTTTTTTTTTTCAACATGCTTGAAAATATTGTGTATTTTTTTTACTTTGGATTTGATTTTTGGTTGCTGGTAATGTAGGTGATGACGATGGTGGCTTCCAGAAGGCTTGACGGCGCTGGAACGTTCAGTGTTTTTTTAACTCGGACAAAATGGGTGTCTACAGACACGAACCTACCTAATCGGTTAGGGATTTTTAAAAAAGATTTTGGGTTTATGTCGAGTCGAATCAAGTTCGGGTTTAGGGTAAAAAATATCCGATCTAATCCTATCTGAAAAATAATATAAATTTACCTTATATATTTAAGGATAATCGCTATAATAATCCTCTATATATTATTTATTTTCCATTAGATTTCTATTTTATTGAATAAAAATAATTTTTTATAAATATATTTATTTTGGATTGGGTCAAATCAGGTTTCGGATGAAGGATAAGTATTTTCGGGTCGGGTTGACTGAAAACCGACCCTGTCCCTAGCTAGGAGTGTTTTACACGACTATAAGGCAGGCCAAGGTTATCTCTGTCCATAAAGACAACTAAAGGAGGTTGAGGAGATTCAAACACTTCAAGAAAACCATATGGGAGGTTGCATCTTTTGGCGATGAAATCAACCAAAGCATTAGCTTCTCGCTTGATGAGGAGGAAGTCTACTAACAGGCTCTACGGAGGAGGTTGTCAATAGCATGCACTAGACTATGTGGTTTGTCAGCCGCGAATGACATAAGGAGCTTGAAGGTGGATTTGTTCGGTCGTGAGATCCATCGAAGCTGGCGAGTAAGCTCGAGAGATGTAATAAAGCTTTGTCCTGAAAAGACTCCGATGAAAGAGGCTTTTACAATTAACATGAAGGTCTTGAAAGAATTGTGTGTGATTTTGAATAAGCCACAGCCCATGTATCAGCTGACAATCACGCAAAATATATAGCAAAGATTCATTTGGATCTCCAAAAAATGGGTAAGAAGGGTCTTGACTTAACCCGTGATGACATCGATTTGAATCTGTTAGCAGTCTGTCCTTTAATGTTAGCCAAAGAAAATATCTGATACACTCGGGAATTCCAATCCTCCATACTAGTTTCCGTATTTGGAGCATCCCATCTTGAGTTTGATATAGAAAAATAAAAACTTTTAATAGAGAATTGTCGCTTTGTATCTTCCTTCCAATAGCAAAGGTTTGAGCCATGAATAACATTTAGGGGTGAAGACCATAGATGTGAGGTATGACATCTTGAGTAAGACCCAATTCCACGAGCAGTCGGAAGGCGTAAAACTATTCTAAACAATTTGCAATGAAAAATCTTCCTTACGCAAATATGATTCCAGTATTTAATAATAGTTTTTTTTTTTGATAGAAAGTCACCGGTTTTATTAAAAGTATAAAATATTTAGAATTACAATGAAAGATTTACAAACATAATCTTAAACTAACATATAATAATGATATTTTCCTATAATCATTGACACAAAAACTAGGCATCTAGATTACATAAGGATCAAAGAAGGAAATATTAAAATATCTAACTAAAAAGCTCAAACAAAAAAAAAACGAACAAAACTGACTGCATCGGCAAACGAATCACAAAAGGGTATGAAACTACTAAAAGACCATCAACAAATCGTAAATAAAGATCTAGCGACGTGAGAAAACTATCAACGAATGTAAAACGCCTATCCAGATCAACCCGATAGTCCAAAAGCAGGAAAGATCAACATGATAACAAATAAGTGCCATCTTGATCAGTTGTGACGATGCCAAATCCAATCATGAGAGAAAATATAAAAGAAAACAACAGTCAAACGATCGAAAACTATCCAAAGGTAGAAAGAAAACATGTCATAAACGTAGATATTTGTTTTGATGGGGGTAAAAAATTAAATTTTAATAATTTATAAATTAAAATATGAAAAAAGGTAAAAAAAAAGAAGGAAATATGTTTTGTTATTTGTTAACTTTTCTAATAAGAAAATTTGGATGAGATAATTTTAAAATTCAAAAGAGTCATATTTAATGGGATGAACATAATAGTATTTAATAATAGGGTAAATTATACTAATAACCACTTAATTATTATCCTTTTTTATTTTGACCATCATTTTAAAAAAATTGTTAATCAGTTCACCCAACTATTTAAATGCATTTAATCAAGCCACTTGTCGTTAACCTTTAACATAGATAATGACGTGTATGTTAGTAAATTTGGTACAATTCTACATTTGGTCCTCATTTCTTATATATTCTATTAATTTAATCTTAATTTTTAGTTTGATTCAAAAAATTAACCTTGAATCAGGACATGTCGCACGTCACCTCCTAACTTAATGGAAGGCAACGAGTTAAAATTACCAATAGAAAGATTCAAACATAGGGCAAAGGCAAATTAAGGTGCACCTAAACTACTGGGGTAAACCTCATTTTTAAGTATTTGATTGCAAAAGGTTTTATATAATATATTTTATATTATGGTAGAAAGAATAAAATAAAAGGGCATTAAAAGAATTTAAGCTTGGGATTTTAACTTGAAATGGGTGCACATTAATCACCGGGGCAAATAAAACTTTAGAAAAACACTAAAATATTAATTTTATATAATTAATTATCTATCATTAGCAAAAAATAAAATTAAAATAACTAAATCAGATCTTAAACCTAAGCCAATAGGACATAAAAAATCATTGAAAAAAATCCAATATATAAATTATATTTCACATACACACACATAACTGTTGTTAATGCAAAATTTAAAAAAAAATAGTTTATTTTTTATATTTTAAAAATTAAAATATTTTCCTTTTAAAAATAAAATTATATTAAAATTTTGAACCTAAAGTTACCAGCACAACTTAAATCACAATATAAATTTATAAATCAAAATCTTAAAATTTTGTCTTCAGAAGATATTTAAAATTATTTCTCATTTTATTTAAATTTATAATTTATAATATTCACTTAAATCTTAAATACATGTACTTTAAATATATGCCATTAACAATTTTTTTTTTTGAAATACCATTAATATATATAAATGTTATAGTTTTTTTTTTTCAAATATTTGATTTGAATTTGCATCAAAACTTTTTTATTTTAATTTTTTTCAAATAATCTAAACCACAATATATAATATTTTTTGAAATCATATAACAAAACATGGGCTTTACACCAGTGGCTGAGGCGCTGCTAGAGATGCCTTTGGTCATCGGTTTGATTCTCCAAAATTGATTAAAAAAATTTCGTCCAACCAAGTGTTGACACTGTTCAATAGAGAAATGTGTCATTATAATAAGTTGACACATGGCACTTCTCAATTGGAGAATGAATTTTTAAATTAAATTAAAGATTAAATTGATAGAATATATAAGTAATAAGGACTAAATTTATAATTATATCAAAATATTTAACTGTCATATCTCCTTACTCTGTTAAATTTTAACGATAAGTGACTTGATTGAATGTATTTAAATGGTTAAGTGACATAATTGAATAAAATTTAAAAATAATAGTCAAAATAAAAAATAATTAGGTAGTTACTAATATAATTTACATTTAATGATAAATAGAATAATTTTAATTAATATTGAATAGACTAAATCAATGAATTTAATAGTAATAGAACAGATATTTGGAATAAACCTAACAACTGCTCAAAAAAAAAAAAGAAGAAGAAGAAGAAACCTAACAGTTCTTTTTCTTCAGAAAAGAACCTAACAGTCTTACATTACAAAGAAAATTAATTCGGTGTGGACTATGAAGCTGATTGGTTGTTATTTTGACTTGGATTTGATATATCAACTCTGTTATCTATGGCTTCCTTCTTACTTTCCTTCAGATTCCCAAAGGAGGCTCTGATTTGTCCGTGGTTCAATCCAAGTATTTGATGTTTTATCATTCAATAAAAAACAAATGGAGACGACTCAATTCGACTCTTTTCTCGATCGAATGCGAAACCCTGCTTCTCTCAATTTTGTTCGCTCCATCAAGAGGTTTCTCTCGAGTTTCTTTTTAATTTTATAATTTATTTCTTTTTTTAGGGTTTTCTAAATGAATTTCTCTTATGCTTTTTCTTATATATATATGAATCAAGAAAATTTGACTTGCCAATTTCCGTTCGTTTCAGCTTCATTGTATCGTTTTCGTTTAATGCGCCAAACCCTGAAAACGATTCCAAAAGGATACAAGATTTTCTCCTGTCAATGGAAGCTGCTATGAGGGATCATCCTTTGTGGGAAGCCTCCTCTGATGCTGAAATTGACAATGCCTTGGAGGTCAGCTTGCCCATTTGAATTTGCTTTCCGTGTATTTATCCTAGCTATTTCATACGTGATAATGGGAACTTTTATTTTTGTTGTTGATAAATGTGTGTGCTACTTACTGCAGGGTCTGGAGAAATATGTGATGACCAAACTACATTCGCGGACCTTTGCTTCCTCTGCTGAGGATGTCCAGGTGGATGCAGAGATCTCAGACAAGATATACTTGTTGCAAACCTTTTTGAGGCCTCAACATTTGGACATACCACCCGTACTTCAAAATGAAGCTTCATGGCTGGTAGGCCCGCTTTCTTCATTATTAAATAATTGTGGAAATTTTGTTTAATGATTAGTTCTATTGATTTGATGATTAGCTTAGAGTCATACATGATGATGTTATTTAGTTATGCATAGCTGCAATCTGGTTAATTGTCAAATTATAAATAACTTACTACTACTTATGTTTAACCTAGAAAGTGGCATAGCATTTTGCTTCATCACTTCAAGTGATCAATGGTTCATTAACATTAAAACTGTCTAGATGTACTGCGTGAAAAAACAATTGTATAATACTTTTCTCCTCCAAAGCCAATAAATCTTATAAAGCATACTTTGTTGGCTTTGCTTTGGTTGGGTGGAAAAATGGAAGGATAGGAGGGAGTGGAAAATTGAAAAGAAAATAAATTTTGAGCGTGTTTGGTAGGAAGGAGAAGTGTGGGGAAAGAAAAATAGAGGGATGATTATTTTCAATCCTCATGTGTGAAAACAAATCATTCCAATTTGGAAGGAAAAGAGGAGAGAAACTGTGAGCAGTTCAAAATATGTATTTTCAAAGCTTAATTGTCTTTTCTCTCATTTCTATTAAGTCTACCAAGCAACGGATGGAAAGAAAACTGCATTTTCTTTCAATTTTTTCATCATTCTACCAAGCACACCAATAGAAAGAAAAAATTATTTTTCTATCATTCTACTTTTCTACCCGTTTAATTTTCTTTTCTTCCAATTTTATTTCCATTCTACCAAGCAACCAAAAGAGAAAAATCGATTCTAGATACTAGTTCAAAATAAAGTTAATTATATCCACTCAACCTTTTTCAAGGGGAATAATCAGTTCAAAAAGATTTACTTGCTTTTGCAAATCTTACATTCTCAAAAGTTATTTTTTTTTCTTTCAGATTGGTTCATTCCAATCCCTAGACCCGTGGTTGGTTCTTGAAGCTAGAGGTAGTGAACTGGTTATAAACGTTTTTAGTATATGGGGAAAGATTTAGTATAGCTTGTGAATGATATCGAATGTGAGCTAGGTAATGCACACCACCCTCTTACTTCTGCAGTATCTGGTTTTTCTAAAATCTGCATCACATTCCTTTTCCTTGCAAAGAATCATCTAAACAAAATTTCGTTGTTTGGCCATTAATGGATGATTAGATTGCTTTGAGACTTAGTTTGAGTATGATTGCATGGTTCTATTTTAAGTTTTTGTGGATCATGCCAGTGCAGTGAACAATTCATATTTGGACTTTGTCGTAGCCCTGCTTGGCTAAGTGATGATTCTTCCTCCTAATAAGTACCAGTTATATTTTTCCTTCCTTCTTCCAGCTTGCAGAGAAAGAATTAAAAAGGATCAACGCTTTCAAAGCCCCTCGTGAGAAGCTTCTTTGTATCATAAATTGTTGTAGGGTTATCAACAATTTACTGCTCAATGCTTCAATTTCAGAAGATCGTGTTCTAGGAGGAGCAGATGATTTTCTTCCCGTTCTTATATATGTTACGATCAAGGCAAGCTCTCCTTGGTAATAAGCCATTCTACAAATAATCATTCTCATCTCAAATTGTGGATTCCTATTTCTGACGTTTTAAGTCACAGACCCATAATTGCAAGGTTTAATTTATGCTAGATTCAGTTTTGTTTCCAATTTCATCATAAAATTTCCAAGAATTTATGGTCATTTTTCTATTCTTGAATTTTATTATATTTTGGAATATGCACCATGTTTTATGCATCCTGAAAATTCGTGTTTTTTCAGTTCTTCATTCCGAGGTAGGTAAATGAGTTGCTTGTGTCAATAGTATATTTCTAGAAATTGTATTGAGAAAACTCCAAAGCTTCCAACTGTTTTCCATTTTGGCCTAGGTTAGCAGAACATGGAAAGACCACTGAAGTTTGCATTGTATCGCTTAATACAGATTCCGGAGTTGATATATCAGAAAATTTTGTCAGTTTGGGATTGGCTTGTGCTTTAGGATTGATATTTTCCTTGTTAGCCTAGGATTAATCTTGTTTCTCGTTTTTGGTTACATATTATGATTTAGTTCTATTTAGCACGTTTCATATTTTTCTGTAAAGATTGGACTCAATAGTAAAGGTTGAAGAGTAGTCATCCACTCTATCATAAGGTGTTGTCTGTAGATTATTTTGTTGCTTTGAACACGTAATGATTACTATCTCACTAATGTCAGCTAGCTTAATCTCATGGACAGGCTAATCCCCCACATTTGCATTCCAACCTCAAGTTCATACAGATATACAGGATGCAATCAAAACTAGTCTCAGAGGAGGCATACTTTCTCACAAATCTTGTCTCAGCCAAGTCCTTCATTGTAGACTTAAACGCTAAATCTCTTTCTATAGAAGAAAGTGAATTTGAGGAGAGCATGCAAGCAGCAAGGTTGGTTGATAGAGTGCCACAAGAAACCTTAATCACCTTTGATAAGAGGTCAACATTAAAAAACATTACAGATCCAGGTTCATCAATACCGATGCACAAAAAAACGAAGTCAAATTTTAAGGGTGAATTTGATATCCATGATTGATATGAATTCTTATATACATACTTGTACTCTTAGTAAATTTGTGCTGGCTATTCTTTGTTCAGGTGAATTAAATTATCCTTACATGGAAGTTGAGGCTGGTGAATTGACTGTGGGTGATGTGGAGAGGTTATTAAGTTTGTACAAGGATGTGGTATCAAAATATACCAGTTTGTGCAGCACCGTTAGACACCTCACTGTTTCAAAGATGGTTTCTCCCGTTCCACAAGGAAATGATGAAGACTTGTTGACAGGGTCTAACGGAACACACAAAGATACTAGTTGTCAAGGAGACTGAAAGGTACGATATACAGCAACACTTATTTGCAATTGTCGCCAGTTTGTTTAAATATTCTCTAAATTAAATTTCTTAATTTCATTAATATATATGTCAAAAGTACAGCAACCCAAAAAGGGTGAGACAAAAAAGCCCTATACTAACAATCTCACCTATTAAGTCATTTACATGTTTTTACACAAATACAGACTAGTTGCATTCATCGAACTGTCAAGGTATTAGTAATTTTAGGACCATCACTACTAAGTAAGTTTCTCCTACAATAAGTGTCAAGTTGAGCAAATTTTCTAGCTTCTATTCCAGAACTTGTAATGCTTAAAGATTTCTTGTGAAGGCCATCTGTACATCTCATGCATATGAACATTGAAGGTATTGCATCAGCATTGTCAATTCCAGCACACCTACTGTGTTGCCAAACACCACACTTGTCACAAGCCAACATTCGCTCACCATCGTCATCCTTTGCTCCACAACTACAGTCGACTGTCCAATTTTCTGTTCCCCTCTCCATTCGAAACCGGTTGAGGCCATGTTTCAATACACATCTGCCTTGCACACGAACTGATCCACTTGTGCCAATCAATAATTTCAGTGTCATGTTGTCCTCTACAGAACCAAAGTCGAGTATTTTCTCAACTTCAAGCCTCTTAAACATGGCATATACATCTTCAAAAGCTTTTGTAGCTTCAATTTTAAGGTCAGCAATGGTAGCATTAAGTGGTAGGACAATCAATTCAGGGGGTGGAACTGGGTCTTCTTTATTAGCATTAGAAAGCTCTAAATGACACCATATATAAATGGCAAAGGGATTGTAGACATTTGGTTTGTAGTCTTTCACGAATTGCTTGCTATCAAGAAGCTTGGTGGCCAAATCATTCATACATTCCCTTGTAGCATGATGCTTGTATGTCAACTTGGTTTCAGGGTCAAGCAAGTAATCAATCATGAATTTTAGATCTCCCTTGATGTGCTCTTCTGATGGGAAATTTGAGTCCAAGCTTGTTTCATAGTGCAAAGAACAAGGTGGCCGAAGCCTATAGCCATAATTGAAACGAGTTATGTTAGTTTCAAAGATGTAGAAAAAAGAGATGGTAACCAAACTAAAGTTGAACTTATCTCACCTGAACTCAATGTCACTGGAGTTTCGACTGCAACGTGCCACAACAATCTTTCCGTTAACTGCCAATTTCCCACTCAAGTGTTTAAGGCAGTAATCAAGTAGTTCAGGGGAGGCTGACTTGCACAAGGCACCCTTAAGAGCACGTCTAGTCACCCAGTTAGAGCCAGCAGCAGCAGCCATGAGCACTTTAATCATACATTGCTGCAATCTCTCGACATCATTCCTTGTCCATGCACACAAGATGTTTGAGGATTTTAACATTTTAGATGCTTTAGGCATTAAGTTCTGACTTTCACTAATCAGTCTTGTGAGGAATGAAAACAATTCATTCAGTGTTGAAAGTTCCAAACACGAGAAGGACTGGTAAAATGAAATGATGTTCTGAAGGCGTGTTCGGGACTTGTTTCCTTGAAAAAGAATTGCAGATGAGGGCATGTTTGAAAGGTCATTCACTGCTCTCTTGTAAGCATCTCCTGTGAGGGCATAGCTTCCTGATCCAAACTCATAACCCCAGTTACCATACCAGGAATGACCTCTGGTAATTGCATGAAGTAGCCTATACTCTACGCCATATTTCTTTGATACATCCATCACAGTTACCTTCCTGTTCAACCAAAAAAAAAATTATTATCGGCTTACGTGAAAAAGAAAACAAAGCTCTAAATGATTTGAAAAACTATCAATCCGTATAATAATTCCTCAGTAACAATTGTTCGTGTTAACAGGTCATGAAAAACAACGTATGGACACAGTAACGGCACTGAAGACATGCACATGTGCTAACGAAGCAGAAAGGGTAATGCATAAAACAATAGGGATGGACATGAAGTAAAAATTTGCCAGATTGAACTACAAAACAACAATAATATTCGTTTGTCCTCCCTATGCCTGCTATTTACATGTATCCATAGATATGAATGCTTTTGAAACCCATCTAAGCATATATATATATCTTTAAAGATCTGTACCAACAGATGTGTTATCACAACATTAGAAGACCCTTAAATTTAACTGTTACATATAGATATAGTTGTGTAAATATCAAAACTCTTTCCCCCTATATATTTTTACTTTAAACATTCTTTACATATTTGTCTACTGCGTAGTAAGTTCCAAACAAGAAGGGTGGCTTCATAGGATTGATAGAATTTTGAGAAGAGAAATAAATAAAAGCGATAGAGGTGTCGTTCAAACCTGACAGAGAGAACACTGCAGAGTCTATCCCAGAAGTTCATGATTTGAGAACCAGAGAGAAATTCAGAGCCTCCTTCTCTACCATTAACAACGAGAAGATGTCCATAACCATTGGAGTGAACAACTCCATGCATCAAATGAATGTTATTATCTTCCAACAATGAATACCCCCATTCTTCAACATCAATATTAACATCTTCTCCTTTGTTACAACACTGGCATCCCCTGTGTCATTAACATCATTTTCAGATGTTAGAGACAAACTTTGAAAAAGAAAAAACCCAAAACTTAAAAAAGGTGGGGATTGTGACCTTGAATCCGAGTTATGGAGGGGATTGGTGCAGATTGCCTTATCACAAGGGGACTTTATTATAAAATGATATCTCTTTTTGCAAACTGGATGGCCGCTCCAACCTTTTTATCATTGTTCAACCAAGAAGAGCATAATATATTAATTACACATTGAAGTATTTTGTTCTCTAACAGAAACAACCTTTATAATTTCTCTTATGATTTAACTTTGATTTTTTATCAGCAATAGATAAGTCACGTTCAAGTTGTTTTTTAACGTTTTTTCTATGTGCACTATTTTTATTTAAAAAAACTTTCGTTAGAATTATTGAGTTCTAGAGTGAAGTAGACCCTATTTTTCCCCTTTCAGTAATTTGTTTAGTTTGGTTGGTTTAAACTTTCCATCATAGAGTAGACTGGACCAGAACTAGGTGGGGGAGCGAGTCAACTCACCGACTACACGGCACTGGTCGCAATACACAGATCTAGAAGATCAGGTGACGTCTTCCTCGATGACATAAAGCGCCACAACGATCGACGAGGAATCGCGATCGTCCGTACCGGAATCGCCAACCCCAAACAGGATCTGCCACGTCATCAGGCACGGAAGGACAGGCGATGGAAAGGCGGTGGTGAGGCGGGCGTTGGCGGAGAGGAAGCTGCGAACGGCGTCCCGGAAAGGCTTTCGGGAAGCGGAGGCGGTGACGGCGGGGGAAGGGAAAGCAAAGAAATCGGAGAGGTCGGCGGTGATTCTATTAGACCTGCGACCCCTCTTGATTGGCCTGGTTGTGCCCTGATTCTCGACCATCGGGTGATTTTTCTTTGGATTCGAGGCAGTGAAAGGGAGGGAAAGCGTTTTTATCTTTTTCACAAAGTCGGAGTCGTAGGGTTTTTGCTGATTTGGTATTTGGAGTGAAACTTTGGCGCTTCTTTCTTTTTATTCGTAAAACCTTATTTAATTCTCTGACACGAATACAAAAAATTTCCCAAAAATAACCCTAATTTTTTTTATTCTTATTGTTTATTTAGCGTCACGTGAGGTAAGGCGTATCTTAATTAAATGTGTAAAAAATTTGGGTGTTAATTTTATAAATATTTTTAAAATGTGCTTAATATGTAATTAATTTATGTTAGGGTGATTTTTGTGTAAAAACGTTAACTTTATTTATTTATTTTTTGTGTGTGAAAAAAAAATTTATACATTAAAATATTTAAATATTATTTTACAAATTATTTTATAACTCAATAAAATTTGATTTTTGCATGAAATTAAACAATACATATAATTTAGTATAAGAAAACTTTAAGGGTAATTATTTTAAAATATGAATAATTTTATAAAAGTTTTATAATTAGTATTTCTTTTTCAAAATGATGATGATAATAATAAATATTTAAAAATTTAAAAATTTAAATTTTTTTATATATTTTTTTAAAAAAATTGACTTTATATTCTTTTTGTATTGAATTTTATTCACTTTTAATTCTTTTTTATTGTATTTTATACTTTTAATTAAATTGAATTCAATAAAAACGTTTATTTTTTGTGTGATATTATTTTTTAACAAATAATAATGTTTATTGACTTTTAATATTAATTGTTTAAAAATATAAAATATTAAAATAAACTTTTAATTACAATTGATAGATCAAATAAATTATTATTCATTTTTTTATAAAATCAATAAAAATGCAATAAAAAAGAATTAAAAGTGAATAAAATTCAATACAAAAAGAATATAAAGTCAATTTTTTTCTCAAAAATATATAAAATTTATTTATATTTTAAAATACTTACCTTCAAAGTTTTCCTATCCTAGATTATACGTATTGTGTAATTTCATGTAAAAATCAAAATTTATCGAGTTACAAAGTAATTTGCAAAAGAATATTTAAAGAATTTAATGTAGAAAGTTTTTTTTTCACGCACAAAAAAATAAAAAAAAAATAAAGTTATTTTTTATACAAATATCACCTTAACAGAAATTAATTACATATTAGGCACAATTTCAAAAATATTTACAAAATTATCACACAATTTTTTACACGTTTCACAAGGCGCGCTTCAGTAGACGCGACTTATCATCGGTGCGTCTCTCTGCAAAGGGTGTTAAATCGAGAAATAAAAGTTTAAACGGTGTCTGACAGGGAATAAAAAAAGTTTAGGTGATTTTTCGGAGATTCGCCAACCAAAACTCAACCGACTTCATTATTACCCATTAATTCATTTACTTATTTATTACTTTATGAAGTGTTTGTGATTTTTATAATTCTTCTATTACAAGTATTTCTTAATATTTGATTTTCTTATCTAATTAATTTCTTTGTTCTAATAATTTTTTTAATTTTGTCTCTAGATTATCTATTTAAATTATTACTTTGAAAATTTCAACAATTATTTAAAGTCGTGTTTCTTTTTATACCGTTTTCTCTTAATTTTTAATCAAAAAATAAAATTCAATTGTCCAATAATCAAATTGTCATTTTAATCATTGTATATCACATGTCTTATCAAAATCTTCTCTTTCAAAATATAAATGAAAAGTTAATATGCGGCAATAAAAGCCTTCCATATGAAGAGTGGTTTTTTTTAGTAGTTTAAGATAATTAAAAGTTAATATTTATTTAATTTTTTTAAATTATTAATAATATTACGCAGTCAGCTGATTGGGATGTAGGGTGAGCTATTGCTCAAGGATTCCTTTTTTTTATTAGGTCCTTAATTTTTTAATCATATTTTCTATTTTTATAATTAGTCTCTTAATTTTTTTAATTTTATTTTTTCTTCCTTAGTTTTTGTAATATCATTTTTTACCTTTATATTTGAGGCACTTAACTTTTTTAATCTCACTTTTTACTTTTATAATTGAAGCTCTTAATTTTTTTTTCTAGCTCACTTTCTACCTTTATGATTGAAGCCTTTAATTCTTTTAATATCATTTTTTACATTTATAATTGAGGCCCCTAATTTTTTAATCTCACTTTCTACGTTTATAATTAAAGTTTATGATATTTTTAATCTCATTTTTTACCTTCATAATTGATGTTCCTAAATTTTTCAATCTTACTTTTTACCTTTATAATGAAAGCCCATAATTTTTTAATCTCACTTTTTACATTTATAATTGAGGCCCCTAATTTATTTTCAATCCAACTTTTTTACCTTTATAATTGAGACCCTAATTTTTTCAATCTCACTTTCTACCTTTATATTTAAAGTCCCAAAGTTTTTTAATCTTACTTTTTACCTTTATAATTGAGGCCCTAATTTTTTTAATCCAACTTTTTACTTTTATAACTTAAGCCCCTAATTGATCATTTTTCTAAGATCTATTAATGTAATATTAAAGTAATTGTTCAAAGTAATAAAATATACTTTCATTCTATAAGGGTCTATTTTTTAGTTTCACTAAAGGCCCCAAAAATGTCCAAGACAATTCTGCGTATATACACTTTATAGACATAGTTGCTTAAATCCAAAACCTATAGAGAGAATAAAACTCTCTTTTATCATTAAAGACACTTAATGTGTGAGTGAAATATAAAGATAAATGGTATTTTATCCCTAGATTCATATTAAATAATCAATTTAACTCTTTTATTAAAAACACTGTGAAGTAAATACATTTAACAAATATTTTTACTTTATAAAAAGGTTGTTTTGTCTGTTGGAGAAACGGGTAGTAATGGACGAGATTTAGGTATGAAATATTATGGGTTTTTCAATTTCTTCCCATTTTGCACTCAGGCCCGACCCAATACATGTGCCAGATGGGCCTTAGCCCAGGACAGCATGTTTGAGGGGGCATTAGTTTTTTAGTTCTTATAATTTGTATATATATATTTGGTCCAAAAAAATTAGCCCAAAACACCTGATCGGTCGATGGAAGGCTTAGGGTAGGCGACAAAGATCCAAAAAAATAATTCTCCCTTGGAAGTGTAGACGCCAGACGGTGCTTAATCAATTTTCCCTTCGAAAATCCAAAAATATTAATGGAAATTGGATGGTCTTCTCGGTCCAGACGGTGCATAATCATCGATGGAAGATCGATGGTCTTCTACTTCCCCCTTCAAAAATCCAAACAACACTCAACAGTCAAGAACGAACAGGAAATAGATTGATGGAAGACCGATGGTCTTCTGCTTCTCCCTTAGAAAATCCAAACAACACCCAACGGTCACTCGGTCTCAACCTTCGAGACATCTCTCTACTTCTCCCTTCAACGAGATAATGATAAGAACAAGAACCACGTTTTCCTGTTCGTTCTTAACCTTCAAGACATCTCTCTGCTTTGGCCTTAATCCCTTAATCCCTTGTGCTTGATTGGTATTGGAGGTTTAGGTCACTGATAATCATCAATCTATTTCGTGAAAAAGGACTTCACCAATAATCATCAATCTATCTCTAGTACATTGACTTTCTTATGTGTTTTTTTAGTGAAAAGGAATTCACTTGATGTGTTTACTGTTCTTGAATCTTTTGTTCAAAATTTGAGTGTTTGGTCTATTTTGCTTCATATTCTGATTGGGAATTATGTTTTTTTTCGAGTTTAACGAATCAAATTCATGGATTTAGCCTTTGATTAGGATCAGTTTAATTGAAATATTGATGTTTCTGTACGCATACCAACTGTTTGACAAAATGTTTCTGTGAATTAGCTTTTGATTAGGATCATTTTAATCATATTCTAACAACTGTTTGAATCATATTCTGATTGGGAATTATGTTTTTTAGAGTTTAATTGAAATATTGATGTTTAGCCTTTGATTAGGATCAATTTTAATTGAAATATTTTCATTCACTGTCACACTGTGGCAAACTTAGTTTGATGAAAACAAAACAGTGGCTAAATATTGAGTTTATGCGCTTGTTTGATTGTTTGAATTTTGATTGTGTAGTGGCAAACTTAGTTTGATGGAAAAAAAAAGTGGTTAAATATTGAGTTTATGGGCTTGTTTGAATTTTGATTGTGTAGTGGCAAACCTAGTTTGATGGAAAAAACAATGGCTAAATATTGAGTTTATGGGCTTGTTTGATTGTTTGAATTTTGATTGTGTAGTGGCAAACTTAGTTTGATGAAAAACAACAGTGGCTAAATATTTTTGTTCAAGGCATTTTTTAGAGTGATTCCTAATGATTTGGTTGATAATTCTAAAGATTGTGAGAATAATGAATTTGTTGATAAAGATAAATCAAGTGATTTTAATATTTTTGATCCTAGAGTGTGGGATGACTTAGATTCAAGAATGAAAGATTTACTTATAGAAAAAGGGCCTAATAGAGAAATTGAACCTAATACAATTTTTTCAAAAGATGCACATGGTAGGCATTTTTCTTGTGATTTTTATTCGTAAATTAAGAAATGGTGATTCTTGTGATAGAAAATGATTAGTGTATTCAAAAGAACTTGATAAAGTTTTTTGTTTTTTTGTAAGTTATTTAAAACCTCTCGGACTAAAAGTAATTTGGCAATCGAATGAATAAATGATTGGAGACATTTAGGCGAAACATTAAAACAACATGAAAATAGTTCGATCATATGATTAATTTAAGAACTTGGACCGAAACTCAAATTAGGTTAAATAAAAATGAAACAATTGATAAAGAGTTACAAGAAATGATAAAAAAAGATACTGAACATTAGAAAGAAGTGATGGTTAGAATTATTGTTGTTGTGAAATGTTTAGCAAAAAATAATTTGGCATTTCGTGGCACAAATGAAAAAATTTATGAAAACTCAAACGATAATTTTTTTGGTATACTTGAAATGATTGTTGAGTTTGATCCTGTGATGAAAGAACATTTTCGATTAATTCAAGACAAAGAAACACATAATCATTATGTTAGTCATAAAATTCAAAATGAATTAATCTAAATGTTGGGCATCGGATGTAAAAAGTGCAACTATTAAAAAAA